AAATTTGATCTTTAAATAAGTATATCTTATGATTTAGTAATTAGAATTAAATAATTTTTATATCATTAGACTCATTTTAATAAGATGAATCTAATAATATAAGAATCATTTAATTTAATTATTAGATTAAAACTGCCCACTGCTTTGTTTTGCTGTGGGGTCCCATATAAAAATGGTTTGATAAGTACTATTCATGTTTTCTATTGGTCAAAAACTCATTAGAAGTATTATGAATAAATGTTATTAATACTATTGTATTAAATTTAAATTCTTTTTTAAAAATGCATTAACATATGCAAATATATATTTTGGTCACGTCAACCAATCAAATTTCAAGCTTAATTTATTGATACGTAATCCCAAAATGCAATTTTGAAATAAGATGCTTAAAAGGTTTTTGACATAATATATGTCATTTAAAAATGTAATAATAATTGTTTTTTATAATGAAGAATATCAATTATATTTTAAGATACATGTGTTAGCTTAGAAGCGAAAACTAGTTTTCTTACAAAACATATACCGTAATGTCGCGAAATAACGGGCATGGCCTTTATTTAGAATAATGGCCTAATTTAAGCTTAATTTATGCCAAAATTCTTAATTTCACCCTGCGCGTGCTATTTCGCGACAATACGGTAGATTCCCATTATTTCATATATGCTGATTCCTTAATTAAATCATTACCCTGAAAATTTTCTGATATTACATTTGATCGTTAAATGTTTATAAGTTACTTATCATATTTTTTAGAGGCTAAGTTTTCTTTCCCTTGGAAACATTCATTTAGAGATGCATTGGTGCATTAGATTTAAATTTAAAATGCTTTAGAGTGTCTCCTTTATTGGTACAATAATAGATTTAATTATGGCTTGTGTATGATTTTGAATAAAAAAAATTTTACAGTAACATTGTATTATCTGCAAATATATAAATAGACATTTATTTTTCGTGAATTAACTAAATTCCCATAGAAAAAAAAATAACCATAATTATACAATTCCAAGTAGTAAGACTATCTCCCACAACTCTATTAGTGCCAGATTTTTTATTATTAAGGAAATGAGGTGAATTAATTGGCGGTAATGGTCCCTGAAATGTGATATTTGCATTAGGATTCGGTAATATTGTTACATCTTCTGATGAAGGCACCGTTGGTATTATTGGGTTTATATTTGATTTGGTTTTGTATCTACGCGTATTTATATAAAATTTCAAGTAATCATAGATTATTATAAATGGGTTATATCATATTCAATATTAAATATTTATTAAATATGAAATAAAGCATACCCCATAGATTCCATGATAGATCTTAATCTAGGACCAATAACTCCAGATTCATCACCATTTTGATAATTTCCACCTTTAGAAATTAAACTCTCAATGGTAAATCCTGGTTCCAGCCTAAATCTCATCAAGAAATCTTCGCTGTTAGTATAACTATCAAAGCTAACATGTGAAATGCTAGATCCTGAAATATAAGGATTAATATTAGTTTCTAAATAAGTTCCGTTAACTAATTGATATCCTCTTGGTAGGAACACCACTGTATTTGCGGTGATGCTTTTATTAAATATTAAAGGTGCAACACTCAGCCATTGTGGTGATGTTATTAAAGATTTTGCAAATTCAATAGTTGTAGAGAATTCGGTTGGTAATGGGTAAAACTCATTTAATTTTGAGGTATATGCAGATAATGAAGTAGAAATTAATGGTGATAATGTTTTAGAGTCTGGAAGAACTACAAGAAACTTATCGAATATTGTCTCTATGAATCCGTGAAAAATAGTTGGACCATTATTTGTTTCATATGCTAAATACGGAACGGGTGATAATGCACTTGCTGGATATTGTAATATAGCTTCAATGTGATTTCTCCATGCAGATGTGAATCCAAGACCGTGAAACAATTCATGCAATATTATTGTATGAATATTTTGTTGGGTTGGATTTATTGGTCCATCGCTGTTAAACCAAAAATTTACAGCTACGTACGTACGTACGTACGTAAGCATAAAAATGGTTATGAAATAATGAATAAAAGGTATAGAAACGTTAATTGACTACGTATTGACTTAACTTGCTTA